GGGCAGTTCTCTAACATCTCGACACAGGCCTGCGATTGGGGGATCTCGAACATGGATTGGAAGACTTCGGAATGCCTCGCGAGAACGCCACGGTGGACTTTGAACGCGACGGTTCCCTCCTCTTGGCCGGTGAGCAGGATGATATTGCCATCGTCAAACCACGGCTCGCCCCGCTCGTACATGAGACCAATTCGCGATGTGTAGGGACGCGCTCGTCGTTAGCGCCAGATGCAAGCAAATCTACACAGATTCCAGTTAGTTTATCCTGTGTAGAATGTGCTTAATTTCGCTAGTGAGCACGTACCAGGAAACAGTGCAAGAAGGTCGCTTGCCGGCTTGCTCGACCCCGCGATAGTGCAGTCGTTACGCGGCTTGAGCGCTGCCGAGCCGTGGGCGCGTTTCTCGGGACGTGTCAGTGTCGATGACTTCCCTCGACATCGCCTTCGTCCGCATCGCGGCTCTCGAACTTGTGTACACCCATGGCATGAGAGTGACCGTTGTTCAGCTCATATATTTGAAGACATAATCCCTATCTGAATCGCCGCTGGCCGCACACATGTCGAGCTCTTCCTCCTCCCGGACGCCATCGCGTGTAGGCACACCGATCCCAGGACACTCCCCCGCACGTCTAGCTCCGCCTCCAGCCCGCCCGGTCCCATCCCTGACTAATCTGCGGGTGTACAGCTATTCTGCATCTCAAACGCCTGTATCGATCTCTCCACCGACTGGCTCCGCTATTCATGGCCGACACGAGGGTGCGGATAGCTCAGCGTCATCCGCAGTGAACGTCGACGCCCCCATAGGCATCATGGTGAATGCGCAGGAGCCGGATGCGGAGGTGGATATGAGTGACGCAGAGGGAGAGACTGCACCAGGACTCCCTGAAGAGCAATTTGGAGACGAAGAGTCAAAGAAGGCTCTCCGGGCTCAGCTCAGACGGACGCTTGCTTCTAGCGAGAGCACCTTGACTGGTGAGTCGACGCAGCGTTCTGATCGTCTGGAATATGACTATATGTTATGTCAGGTCGTAGACATAGCAAGATACTGGATCTACAAGAGATGGCGCACGCTCTGATCGAAGGTTAGGACCGGAATCCTGGCTTGCCATGATATGCCCGCATTAAAGTTGACCGTCTCAGTCGAGAAATACCAGCCTCGTCAATACTTTGTTCTCACCAACGCCGGAAAGCCCGTCTTCGTTAGGTCAGTGCAACGTTTGGTAAAACTCTCGCGTAATATGTTTAACGGATGTCTACCCAGCCATCAAGAGAACGAGCAGACTGAGAGCTTCACCTCGACCATTGGCGTCATACAAGCTTTAGTGTCTGTGTTCCTAGACGATGGAGATAAGCTACGCTGCATCAACGCTGGCCGGACACGCATTATATTCCTCCTCCGGTCTCCCCTGTACTACGTCTGCGTCTCCTCGTGGGGAGAGCCCGAGTCTGTGGTAAGCAGTAGCGAACATAGTGTTTCTCGGTGGAAGCTCACGCTTGCAAAGCAAGACGCGGTTCCATCTTGAATATCTGCACTTGCAAATATTGAGCGTAGTCTCAGCCGAGCAGCTCCGACGCATGTTCGAGCGTCGGACAAACTTTGATCTGCGTCGTTTGCTGAGCGGTAAGCTTCAGTTTCCTGTGGTCAATTTGACGGCTGCTCAATGTGATGTCTTGTAGGTGCAGAACCATTCCTACACTCGCTGCTCGCGCGTCTGGAATGGGATCTGGCTATGAGCACTTCGTCGCTGCATTGTCTCAAGCTTGATCCCGCGCTGAGAAAGAGCATCGCAGACATTCTTGTGCCTACGTCGAAGATAAAGGTCGGTTATCTTCACATTCTTCGCGCATATGGCCATCTGGAACTCCTCATAGGATGTCCTGTACGTTATGTTGATCGCACAAGGACGTGTGGTCACTTTGATTAGGCCAAAGAAGCATTCGATACACCCTTCAGGTGAGTCCATGTTGTTTGATCCGTACCATCAAGCTCACACGGGGCTGGAAGACCTTCACATCCTGATCAATACCGTGCATTCGCCCTCAATCATCAACAACTCTGCTGCGGCCTCCTGGCTGCCAGTATGCCTGCCAAAGTACAACCCTGCGGCGTTTGTCAATGCCTACGTCACCTTTCTTGGGCGAGATGACGAAGGCCCACCTACGCCGAATCTCAGCCAGACGGGTAGTGCCAGTAGCACGGTCTCGGATAGCAGTACGGGGGTCGAGTCTGGCACTCGGCCTGGCACGCCAGAGAAATCTCAGCCTGTGCCCGATATCGCTCTGCTATGTGTGAGCGGCAGCGCCGAATTTGAAGCTGTTAGGAACTGGTGTGACTCGATCTCGCAGGTTAGCAAGTTTGTGCCATACAATTAAATATGATGCTCACCGCAACTTTTGAAGCGCCTTCAACGAGGTCGTCTGCTCGATGCTCTGACAGAGGCCATCCATCACGGTCAAACGGAGTATTCGGTCTCTGATCTAGGCATCCCGGGTCTACGCCACTTTCTGTACAAGTCCAGGGCGCATGTGCAAGCGACGATGCCGCTCTTTGAGGATCCGTACAACGATTTGAATGAGAAGCGGCGGTACGTCATACCTGCGTCACTTGCTTTTGCCGTACTGACATGCTTTGTTGCGTAGTCTGGTTACATTGTACCAAACATTGTATGATGCTATCCATGCAAAGTCTGGTCAGCAGAGCACGCTCAAGCTGCAGTACATACGTACTGAGCGCGAGAGCGTTATGGGATGGGTGAGGCTCTTTATACTGACCCTCCGCGTCTTTCTCATCGACGCCATGTCCTCGATGTTTTGCAGATCACGCAGGGATTCGAGGTATACCTCGCGATATCCCCGCTTATACCCAAGGTCGGCGTCGTCGGCGCAGCCAACTCTATAGCGCGCTGGGTGCAAAAGGAGGAAAAGCGGCTGTTCCTCAGAGACGCGCCGGTCTTTTGAACATGGGTTATCATACTATACGCTGGATCGTCATTTGCTGTCGAGTACTATCTATTGCCACAAAGGAATCCTGGAGCACAGCTCGAGAGACGTCATCGATAGCTTCGTCAAGTGCCGTCCGTGCACAGCACGACTGTACCGCCTGGATGCGACGAGAGCGTCATGGCTGGGAGTGCTTTTCACCATATCACGATAGCATTTCCCCGACCAAGGCCCGTTCAAACGCGGATGCGGACGAGTCCGCGCTGTGTGCCGAGTCCCGTTCTTGGTGCGGGCACTTGCCATATGCGGAACAAAGCTTCTTTGACGGGCGCCAATTCTTGCGACTTTCGCGCTCGACGCTCGTCCTCGCTCGTCTCGGCTGCGCTACCCAAACCTCCTGAGCGCGTGGACCTGCTTTGACCTCTTGTCTCTCCGTACGCGCAGAATACGCCCACCACTTCACCGCCGGCTATGTCTTTGACCACCCTGAGCCAGCGCATCGCCGCGTTTGCGCCACGCTTTAGCTTCTCCCGCGCACTGCAAAATCGCGCTCTGGCACGGCCGGTCCCGTCTCCGCAAGGTGAGCGGATTGTCACAAACTGGGGAAGCTAGCGTTGATGCGCTTTGGGCCCGGACGAAGCAGGCTCGATTGCTTCTCCGGAGGACTTTTTGAAATCGATTGGACGCTCCGCGGACACGAAGGTGTCGGTTGAGTCGTGGGAGCAGCTATGGCACCTTAACGGAGCTGCACTGAAGAAGGCGGGTGTTGCGGTTCGGGATCGGAGGTGAGTACGGACGTCTCTGGAAATGCTATGGATGTGATTCAATGGTGTCCGCTAGATACATCCTGTGGTCGATGGAGAAGTACCGCCAGGGAGAGCAGCCCGCAGAGTTTGCGCATCCCCCCATGCCGAAGCGGACCATTCGAGGGTGGGTACATTTCGGAGCTCTGTGATTGCGATACTTTTCTCATATGCGACTATAGTCGTGGTCCTGCGGTGCAAAACGGCAAGCGGATACGTTCTCGTCGGCTCAAGCAATAGACGACCATCTCTGCATACCCATTCTCTCTCTCTGGCCGTTCCAGAACCAGATGTATTATCATGTATTGTTCACCATAATGGCATGCCCACAGGGCATCCGTTTGCCTTTCCTTGTGCATATGGGAGCCGATGCGGATATCAAGGATGGCTTCAATACGACATAGCCATCGCAAGCGCTCAAAGACAAAGACGCTAACCTCTCTAGCTTGAGCACTGGTGTGCAAAGTCCCGTTGACCAATGCGAACCCTTTTCATTCGCTTCCTTGTCGCATGGCGACAGCTGTTCAGGGGTGTGCCAAGCTGACGAGAGCGCCATGTTGGTTCAGGACGTTCCAAGATGGAGATATCCGGAATATCAGCTTACTGCCTCGAAATGGCGTAAAGTCAGGTGTTCTCACCATATGCTTTGACATTTGACAATATTGCCAATTGCAAGGCCATCTGTGCCAGCGGATCTGTGTTCCTGCTGTGTCTCTCAGCGATTCGCAATATTTGCGTCAATAAGCTCACCATAGCGGACCTAAAGTTGTTCGCAAAGGTCCCTAGGACAGATTTCCCGGCAAGACACACGGAGCTTGAGTGCAGGTATGCATCAACCCTGCGCAATCGCAATGGTGTCAAGCGTTTTCACTCCCGAATCGTCGTAAAGGCCTGACGAAATTGACAAGCGAAGCTCGACGTCGTCTGGATCATCTCGCTGTGCTTCTGTCTACGCATACGGCTGATGCAGCCATGCTTCCCGGAGTCAGGACACGATGTAACAGCGATCAAACAATTGTGCTCACTCTGTGCTCAAGTTGCTCAAGATTCGGATATTCAAATGAGGGACACTGCAAACGGCATTCGACGTATTTAATTGGTGTTTCCAACCCATCATGTGTGGTCCGCTTTCACGTCCTTCTTGCTCGTAATGTGGCATGGAACGTTGCGACTTGAACATAGCGCATTCGTACAACTCTTCCGGACTTCTTCCCAATCGCGATGGCACTATAACTCATTCACAACGTTAGTTTGTAACTCCGATATGGTGTAACGGCTAACATTGCCGCCTTTCAGCGTTCTGGCACTTACGTAAGTTTGCCTTTACACTGTACCGGGCGCGGCAGCTCGGGGTTCGATTCCCCGTATCGGAGCACTTTTTGTCGTCCAATGTTCGCAGCGAGATATCGCATGAGCACTTACTGCATAGACTCTTCACAGGAGGACGCAATAATCCATTCATCTGGATTAGTGTTTCTCCTGTATGAAATGTAGTTGATATCGATAGGTGGGTATATGCAGCACGCACCATGATACTGCATTTTGCAGGATACCATGTAGTGGTCGGCGGGGCGGTATGACCAGAATATGCACAGCACGCGGGCAGCGTTCCGTGGGGTGTTTTCCGCCGAGAGACGGGCAGGAGGTGCGAAATATGTCAAGTGCTTGGCGGAGATGGGGGGCGGAAGGAAGGAGGTTCAAGCTTCACGATCCATCCTCCGGGCTTATATACATCGACCGACAGACGTCGATCAAGGGGAATGAATGACGTTGTCCACCGTGTCAATGACACCTCAGAAGCCGGAACTTGAGACGAGGAAGACCGCACGAATGTCAGGAATCCAGCTCGCTGTCAGAGATCGCGACCGATCGCTCTTCCTGCAACTATAATGGCAGATGGCCGTTACACCATATCGGACACAGAAACTGACTTTGCAGACTGTTGGTAGGGCCGTTACCGCAAGAAAAAGGTCCAAGCGCAGTGCGCAAGCCTCAACGGTCAACAGAATATGAGAGCATTTAGCATGTGGGAAGTGGCAATGTTGGCCACTGCGCCATATCGTATCCGCAAGCCCTGGCGTTGGTTTGGACTGACGCAAGAGCCAACGTGTGGCTGAGTGAGAATCCAGTGATCGCGAGAACGGTGAACCGGGAAAGAAGCCGGGGACAATCGTGCTCGCGGGACCTCGCGGGCCTCAGCGCTTCAGCGCTTGGGCGATGCTTCACAGCGCTAGAGTCCGCTTCCCCTGGCCAAAGAATGCACTCTGCGACAACTCGGCTGTCCTCCGGCTGCCTTGACAATGCGCCGGCCCATGCGTCGCCAATACCCTCGCAAGCACACCTCGTCGACTCTCTCGACGAGTATCTCCAGTCGACTTGTAGCAGTGGCCACCGATGATACAGGTGACAGCCCGGTGCGGTGTCTATTACACGCCCCGCAGCGCACGGGGCCCCAAAGAAGCCTGCCCTCGGATGCGCAATCGCCTCATGCCAGATAATCTGAGATCGGCCACGGGCCTCCTGCCAAAACCCGTAATTTGTGAAGAGACATAGACGCTAGTCCGCCTCACCGTGATACTACTGAAAGGTTCGGTGTCGCAACTTACCTTATTCGACCCTCCTGAACGCCTCAGACAAAAGATTATTGCCTTTCCGGGCCACCGCGCAGCCGAGACAAGGACCGTCGAGACGAATGCCAAACTGCTCCCCCCGTCTGCTTGGGCCTGCTATAAAATACCCTGCAGACATGGCCTTTTGCTCCTCAGCACCAACCGCGGTGACCGTCTCCTCCGCCTCCAGCTCTCCTCTCCTCCGCAACGTTATTCGACATGTACCACTTTGACCGCTACGCGCAGATGCAGGCTGAGGCTTGGGCCTATGACCAGCCTTATGTTCCTCCCGAGGACGCCCTGTCATCTAGCCTGCAGTCGTCCACCCTCTTCCCCTCCATGTTCACCGGCTTTGACTCTCCCGAGCCCAGCGAGTCTGGCTCGAGTCGGTCAAGCTTGGACTTTGCTCCGGACATGGCGCCCTACCATGGTGCCGCCTCCATCCCAACCGACGCGTCCTACGTGCTCGGAGGTCTGTCCATGAGTGACACCCTCCATGACCGTGAATATGACACCAATCAGAGCTTGTGCGTCGCGTCCTACTTTTCTCCACATCATGCGCATGCTCACCCGTGGCCACATAGGATGTTCGACTTCTCCAACTTTGACATGCCATACATACCCGCCCCGGAGCACCTGCCCGCTCATGGCCTGTACAGTGTCGCCGCCCAGAGCCCTCCCACCCTCTCCATCCCGCTCGCGCCCGAACCTTCCCTCCCCTCGACTCCTGTTCCGGCCACCCCTACGCCATGCCACGCGCCCCAGACCATATATACTCCGGCTCCCATGACCTCTGCAAGCATAACGTCGCCGGCATCCCCCTTTTCAAATGACTCTGACAGCGACGCCAACGACGGGGAATACCGTCCCGCCGGGGCGCGCAAGGCACGCAGGCGCGCCGCTCGCACCTCTCCCTACCCCTCTCCCTCCCCTTCACCTGCCTCCTCCCCGCGCTCGCCCTCCTCCCCCAGCGCGCGTCGTAGCACCTCCATCCGTCCGCGTAACACCCAGGTCGCGGCCACCAGGACCGACACACATGCAGGGCAGTGCCCGCACTGTGACTACGTGCAGACGAACGGGCGTGCTCCGGACCTCGCGCGCCACATCGCGTCGCATCTCGCCGGACAGGACCCGATGAAGTGGGTCTGCTGTGGTGTCCCTCTCGCGCATGCGCGCGCATACGGGGTGCGCATGGGCCCTGGTGCGGAGGTGAACATGTACGAGGGCGTGCCGATGGTTGGCGGGTGCTGGCGCACGTTCACCAGGCGCGACGCGCTCGGGAGACACCTTCGTCAGCAAGAGTGCTGCGTCGGCGACGTCAACGCGCCGTGGCTCCGCGGCAACATGGAGCGCAGCGAGAAGAAGCGCGCGCGGTGAATGGCTGCTCATATACGAGTAATGACGGTGTATCTCTATGACTGCTAGGTGAGCATCATCTCTCGCAATAACGTGGCTGCTGGTCCTGACTGTTCGATGCGCCTAGGACTGTATCGATTTGACTCTGTATGCACATCTCTATCTGAACTCTCACCGATATCTGTATCCCTGCCTGCGACTCCATATGCCCCCCCTCCTCTGTTCGTGTCTGATTGTGACATTATACCTCCCGCTTTAATACCCTCCCCCTTGTGTTTGTCCATCTACGCTTGCTCGCTCTTCCAGTTTCGGTGTCTCGGTGTCTCGGCTTTCGATTGTGGTCTGCTAACCGTGTTGTGGAATGTACTGTGTACACTGTAACACCTGCTTACAATAATTATCGACGTTATGCGCTATCGCTGCCCGTGAACTGTAGAGCGCCAGGCCACTGTACTGCTTAATTGCCCCGGAGTCGGGTGTGAACGTTGCGTCATATTTCTCGCTTGGACAGAAGGCAGCCCGGCATCCTGCGAGAACCGCCAGAGGCGCAGGTGTTTACTGGGTATGCCGTACCTGTAATGGTAAGAGGAAAGACCATTCCCATAATTGAGCGCCTGCATGTGCACCCGTACCTAGGAGTTGAGCGCTAGCAAGTAATTGTAGGATGCGTCATCCGTCCGGCTCTTCGATGGGGAGGTCCATGGAGAATAGGTCAATATTAAGGAGACCGTCATAGCATTTTCGCCCAATACAGAGAATAGAATACAAGGATGGTCCATGGACGCAGGGATATCAGTTGCACAGGCTATGTAGCTTCATCATGCAGCAGCACATATTCTCGCGCAGACTCGCCGAATTTGATCACTGGTGTCATGTCAGGATATGTCAAAGTGGATATTAGCTGCGTAGAATGCTCACCATCCCCTGGTTTCAACTCGTAATATCGCGACTGAGGGACGGGGTCATCGTTGACTTGTGTACCGTTAGTCGACTCAAGGTCGATGAGGAATGGCCTGGGTTGCACGAGTTTAGTACTACCGCCAGCAAAGGAAAATGAATAATTGAACCCACTTGATACTGGATCTCACGTCTCCAAATTCACTTTTCTCCCGCACCATTCGGTCTACAACGAACATCAAAACGCGATGGTGTGACTGGGTTCAAGGGTGCTCACATTGAATGACAGCATGCTGCTTAGAGCAGGAGGGATGTTCAATGGTGATGTCGCAGACCGTCCGGTCTCTGCCAATCAGATATGCACTCTGCCGGTGAATATGCAGCAAGTCTAGTGTCATTCAAACACAGCCCATCAGCTTTGGTGCACTCGGCGGTACAGGAAGACGGGCTCACCGACTTGCTCCTTGCCCTTGAACACGTACAGCCGCCAACCCACGATGGGCTTCCGCGCCTCCGGTGGCTCATGGTACTTGAGCACAGTCTTCGTCCCATCCGTATTCTCTACCGTCTTTGTCGCCGCGGCTAGCAGGCCTGAGGGCGCGAAGTTCGGTTTCGCTTTGTCTTCCGGGGATTTGGACCGTGGTACAGACTTGGACTGTGATCTGCGCGGCTGAGAACCAGAGCGGCGGCGTGGTGAGGCAGACCGCCGAGACGGGCCTGCACGATCACGGTCGCGGTCCTCCCTCCCTCTGTCCCTGTCCCTCCGGTGGTCCTGATCCCGGCCCCGACCTACGTCGCGTTCGTCGTCTCGGCCATACCGCTCCCTACGCCCCGAGTGGTCGTCTCTTCTCCGCCTGTCGTAGCTGCCGCGGTCACGATCGGTCGGCCTCTCTCTAGTGTCGCGTTCTCGCCGCCGTGAGTATGGTTCTTCCTCGCGGCCAAAGTCTCGTTCACCTCCGCGGTGTTGCTTTGAGCGATCATAATAATCCGGTTCGCGAGCCATGTAACCCCTCAGCGCAGAAATAGCACACAAAGTAGAGTCTCAGGTGGGACAAGATGAGAAGCATACAACGCCAGGCAGTTGGATCAAGTGCCTCGAACGTGCGTACTGAGGCATATGAACCCGCACTAAAGAGGAACTATCAGCTCCGATATGGTGTAGTGGCTAACATTATCGCCTCTCATTCTCTGCGCGCGATAGCCCGGGGTTCGATTCCCCGTGTCGGAATGCTTTTTGCACCCTGGAGACAGGTCTCACTTTCATACGATCTGCAATGGACCCAGCAATCATCAGGGCGTAGGACTTCGTGGATTCTGGTGCGATCGTTACCTGCCCTGATCGTGTTTTCTTTTCAATCGATCGTCTAATATGCTTCGCTTCTCAAGAATATGATCGGAAATAGGCTCATTCCTTCTGTCGTGGAACAGAAGCTGGCGTACTGTATGTAGCCTATATATCGGTCACCACGGGCGAGTAACTCGGTACAGATATATCCTTCCCTTGAGCGGCCTTGTCCAGTAAGCTTATATGCACGATGTCATAAGACCTCCTCATCGTGGCGCGCAACTGGTCTATATCACATCAGCCGACAGACGGACGCCGCTTGGAAGCATCCTAAGGGAATGATACTGCCATTCGAAGGCGGGGCAGCGCTTGTTGTACATACATCGTTCTTCAAGCAACGTACACAACTAGACGCCCTAGGTGCAATAGATAGTGCCAATATAAATACCCTGATATGGCCCCAAATGGTCGAGGAGATCACTGTCAAAGATGTTCGGCACAGTTGCAATCGTGCATTCTGCGTCCGTCGCGTCATCGTCGCCGGGGCAGGAAACAGCGTCGTTCGGAGCTACGATATGCACCTCTCCATGCGGGTGCTCGAAGCCCAAGAACCGGCCAGGTACGATTGGGATGGGATCCTTCTCGTTGTTGACGCGCGTAAAGTCGGGGACCTGTGCGTAGCGCCGTTAGTGCGGATCGAGTCGCGAAGTCTGATCGGTCGGCGTACCTGTGAGTCGAAGAAGGAAGCATAGGCCGGATCCCCGACACGCGGGGTACCATAGGTGACGGACTTGATGGAAACGTCCGAGGGCAGGTTCATCGTCATGAACAGTGCATCCAACTCAGCGAGTGCTCCGCCCAGCGAGTGTCCGACCTGCGGCACGCGTGTATCAACATCAAGTTCACGACTCGACTAGTAATCACGTACAAGTACGACAGAATCCGCTCCCCGCTGCTGGATCAGACTCCTCGTCTCAGCAAGGATGGCGGGTGCTGTCTTTGCATGTTCATTTGCAAATCCGCTGTGCACAAATATGCTATTGGAAATTCCTGGAAACAGCGTCGTGTTGAGGTTCTCCATGACAATATCCGTGTCCGTCAAGTCAGACAAGCTAGAATCAACGTGTGAGAAACGGGAACAAGCAACAGATAGGAGTACCTGGTACCCACAACTGCGTCGGGTCTGTGCCTTCGTGTGACACGACGACTGCATTTTGGCTCGGCCAGTAACCAACAAAGTCTGCGCCTATGTGAGATGATGTCCCTGCGCAGGAGATCAGGCACTAACACAGCTGCACGTCGTTTCCGTCGCCTCCGCTAAGGGTTACCTCGAAGCCGGAGTTCGCCTCGCAGGCATCTGAGTACAATATTCGTCAGTTTTGTGCGCTGAAACGCAACGAACCCTTAGATGAACTCACCACCACAGGTCCAGGTAGGAATACCGCTGGTGCAGTATGCCGCTCTCGCGAATTGGGTATACGGCGCGAAGCTAGCCAGCTGCGCGGCCGTCAGGGTGGTCGTTCCGTCGCGGCGCTCAATGGGGGCAGCTTCAGCGGGAACCTCTGTCGGAAGCGCGAGCACAGCACTCGCGTACAAAGACGCGAGCAGGGAGAACCCGAAGGAGTGACGCATTTTGTCTCGCGCTACGCAGACGAAAGGACCGGATGCCTAGAGCAAGGAGCTCCTGCAGGAGAGGAACAACAGGCCTGAGCTCTCCAGAGTGACCATCGCCGCATTTTCTACTGTTGGCCTGTGAATCCTGATCGCTGGTTAACAGTGATGCCGCCTGCGAAGTGTTCTCGGGATGCAGCTTGCATGCGGTCAGTGGGCAAGGGGACGTTCACATGAGCTCGAGATGCACAAGACACTGACGGTCGTGACATGCATTGCGCAGAAGCGCGAGGGAAGCTGGCTTGCCGAACAGCAGCTGGAAGAGACCGCAGCACACGGCACACGAGCCCCCGCCGCGCTGAGCCCCGACGCAGATCCCGCACCCCCGTCTGCATCGCCGCCGCGTTGTGATCAGCGACACAGACGTGGTATTTACCCGTCCTCTCGACGCCGCACCCCGCCTGATCGTCCGCATCATGTTCGCGCATCAGCACAGCGTGCGCGCGATGCTCGGCACTCTCGCGCGTGCCGCTTGACACGGCCGCGTGCGCGCGACGTGAGCACGTTGGTGCGCGGGCAGGTGATTAGCTCGCCCGCGTGCGGAGCAGGCGGGCAGTGGTGGGGCGCGTGCGGGTGCCTTGCGATCTTCCCAGGGCCGGGTCCATGCGGTGCGTGGGCCGTGATTGGCCCTCGGTGCCGCCCGTGCGGCGGGATCGCGCTGCGGGCGAGGGCGCGCGCGGGCGCAAGGTCGTAAGGGCAGGTACGGAGGGAGGGGGCCGTAATCTGGGAGGGCCATCGCGCCGAGGCAGCGCCTGGCAGCGTCCAGACGAGCGAGCCGCGGTCAAGCTGAGATCACGACCAGGCCAAGCATCGGAGGACCATAACTGAGATCCGTGCTGCCGATAACCGATCGGGCAAGATGACCCCCATATTAGGCAACTTCAGTGCAAACAGTCAGCCGCCGACAATAGCCGTTCGCCCCGACGCGACACCGGAGCTGCGAGGTGGGAGATAGCCAGAGGAAGAGACTCTGAACTCAGTCGTTGATGACAGTGCCGGTCTCTGAGCGGGGGTATTCGCCTTTAGACTCTAGAATGGGGCGCTGCGCTTTTGACGTTTTCTGACATTCTTGAGCGACTACAATTGTAATTTGTGGCAGCCCTCAGTCAAGACAGCAGCATTGCCAAGATCACCGTGTGCCGCAGCAGCAGAGACGCTCATCGTGCGGGCCGGCGTACACAGAAGTGCGGGTCAGTTGGCCCAGGTACTCTGGATGAATATCGCAATTGTGGCTCGGCCACACCGGCTAATCCGCGGGGCGCATAACGACCGCGTACTCCACAGGTCAAATGTCTGCAGAAGAACGCGGCTATGTAATGTCTGGTCCTGGCCACCTGCAACGATATGTCAACTAGGCGGACGACCCCACCGTGGGCCAGAACATGCGAACCCGCTCACCACGTTCCCTGGGTAGAAAATGCCTTTTGAGTGCAGAACCGTCGGCGGCGGTCTAGGAGCAGGAAGACAAGGTGCCAGCCTAAGATGGCGGTGTCCCGACGTGATAATGACGCCAACTCCGCGAAATGAGGAGCTCTATGTGTCTGTGTCAATTGAATGCGTGGAGCACATGACATCTAATTCCACCGCTCCTGAAGATGGCAGTGAGGCGGCTATGTCGACAGTCGAACCGAGAACGTCCTGCAAGCGCGGACATTGAACAGGGCACATTATAGTCGGGACTAGATAAGTCGCGTCGCCGCGTATGTGTGACCCTAGAGGAAGAATGGTGAGAGAACATACGTGGGCATAAGTCCATATTCATCTCACTTTCTCTCATGTAGTAAGCTTCGAGAAACGCATCTGGGAAACTGTTGAATATGTACTTGTAGCACGCCGCGCGGTCGGTGCCCAGTCGTGTCTGTAAACCATAGTAAGACGTCTGGAATGGAAATTATGCCAATGTGAGGCGCAGACAAACCTCTTCGGCAGCCATGTCTAATGCGATTGGTCAGCCGATGTTTTCCCGTCAAGTCCGATCATAACCTACGAAAGGCAACGATCATGACGGATTGCGAGTGGGGGGACGGGGAGAGCAGCGCGGGCACGGGATCCTGTTCATTCTTGATAGCGCGCGGAACCAGGCGGGCGAGCTTCTTTCAGTTAGGTTTGATCCCGCAATTAGCGTGAGGAAGTCCGAGGTTGATCAAGGTGGAGCGTCGGCCAGGTACGACGGTGTTGGCTGCGCCCCCCAAAATACTCGCAGGACGTGTGCGATGGTATTCCTCGCGCGATATGACGGACTCTGGCGTGCGGAGGCACTCCTGCTCAGGATTTATGAGTTCGCAAACCGGACCGACTTGTGGGTCATATAGAACCGGTCTGGAGCGGACCTGCGTATTACATAATAGTTGGAAGGGGATGCTCACGCATCTTCGGCAACGAGTAGCGATGATGTGAGGCGCCGCGGCAGACGGAGGGAGGGCTGGTGAGCTGGCAACATCGGTGAGCTGGGCGTGCAGGGCCCCCCGCCTGCGAAGGCGTCGCTGCGAAGGCACCGCCTGGCAGTAGTACTGCGCCCATGGCTGGCGCTGCGAACAACCAGACGACTGAACTCACTCCACCCTGCGAATTGTATTTGGATCTTCGTTTGTGCACCGTTAACGCACCGTGTGCACACCATCTGCCGCCCTCATCTGACCTTTCATGGTCGTTACGAACCTACCCTGAGGGCGAAGAGGCTTCTATCGGAACCGTCCCGTGTGTAACTTTGTGGGAAGGTCGCGAGTTGGAAGCGCGATTGTGTGGGCATTTTGGTAAACCGTTTATCGGCGTATCTGCCCTTTTGCATCTGACGGTCTGGATCAGTCCAGTGTTGTGGAACCTAGCCCCGAATGCGATTCGACCATCCCTCGCGTCCTCGCCCTCCTTGACAAGCGCGACAGCTCTTCGCAGTTATTCCCCATTCAAATATGGTCATCCCTTCTCGTCTGTTCACATTATTATCCACCACCCCGTCCTCCTCCGCACCGCCCTGGCCTTGCAATGCGGTAACCACGCCCTGACGTTCCACGGAGCCACTCACTCCCAGAGTCGCACTAGCATAAAGCACCGTCGTGACGCAGTTCATTTCTGCACCCGCGACGCTTGCTGCCCGATCGACAACGCCGTACCCGGTCCCCTGCTTCTCCGCGTCGATATCATCTCACCGGGTGCAGTCTCTGGCGTCAGTCTGTTTGCAGTAACACCCCGAGCCGTTTTCAAATGGCGACGGGCCCTCTCTCTCTATCTGACTCGGATCCCGAAGGTAGCGGCTATTCGCAGGACGAGCTCTC